CCCCCCCCCCCCACACACACACACTTGTTTGGGGCTGGCTACGCCCCTGGCCATATTGATTGTATACACCCTGTATATTGATAATGATGATGTTTAGTATCTTTGACACCTTGTCAAATTGGATGCCACCCAAAAGTCGAAATACACACACGTCCCAACTATTAAACTCAAATATTAAAATTATCCTTTATTTATGACGTTAAGAACCGTTTGGTTCTTCATTCAATACTAATTACTAAATATAAATCATGGCGTCCATAATCGTCCCAAACTCTTCAAAACAAAAAACAACCTCGCGTGTTCTGTCACATGACATGTTCACCGGAAATGAATGTCACCGGAAGACACGGTATAGCCACAAATGATTTTCATAAAATTAATATTTATTATCTAGAGAGCACAGACTTTACACTAAGTTTTAGTTCTATAGGTTATGCAAGGTTTTCGATTTCTTATTCCGATTTGCAGTTCACAAGCCATGACAGGCCCACCAGCGTACGAAGTATTCCAATCGTCAACCTTCCATTGCGGTGATCCCGTCAATGAGACGATGTACGACAACCTCCTGGGAATTGCCAAGAGGAAGACGCACCCATTGTTTGAAGAACCTGAAGTCTCGTTGATTTTTAAGAAAAATGAACTTGATCAGTTAGACTTAAAGACAATTGAAGAAAATCTACAGAGCTCTTTGGAGGAGGTGCGTGCAGTTAAAACAATTACTCTTGAATCGTACTTCAGATTTAAGATATTAAGGTTACAGGACACCCTTTTTGGCGTTTTGCGGAAAATCGCTCCTCAATTATTGAATGCGCGCTCAATATCAGTCCGATTTTCTTCAAATTTTCACCAAATGTTCGCCAGTGCATGCAAAATATGGTAAAGTTGTAAAATTGGCAAACAATAAAATAATGTAATAATTGGTTTTAAGATATTTTTATGAAAATGGTGTTCGGAAATTTTTGTTTATTTCGTCATTCCGCTGATATGGCGATTTCTTTGACGACTGCAATATATTTCTGAATCGTTTGAGTGAATTGCTCCTTATTATTAAAATATCCAAAATTAGAAAAAAGCCGAACACGATTTTGAAACCGACGTATTTAGCTATATGTTCTGTCAGAATTTGAGAAAAATTCGTTAAACCCGCAGGAGAACAACTCGTTTGAAAATCAGTAATTGCCGTAAATATTACATATTTTAAATTTAATATTATTACATTTTCAATGTTTTTCTTATTGCAGCGAGTTTTATTAAATAAATCTGCGAGTTTTCAACATTTTTCGTTCAATCTTGGTCAGATTGTAGTCTAATCAGGTTTCATGGAAACCAATAAAAAAATTTTAGGCAAATTAACACTTAAAGGTGTTCTGTAACCTTAAAGATGCGGTACAGTCCGTATGCAAACAAAGGCTTTGTTTACATTTCGGTATCCAAAATATTGAATTTTATTCCACAATATATATTCATGATTCTAGAGTATAATAAATTATCAAGAGACAACAATCAAGCTTTGCAAGAATATAAAATGAAATAAAAACCTAAATAAACTGTTTGTAAATAAAAAGAGGGCTCCCTTGTGCACATGCGCAGATCGGATTGTACCGCATCTTTAAGCAAGCAGACGTCATTAGATCAACTAATTTTGGTCGCATTTTGCACCATAGCGCTCGAGTAAAGAGGCAAATACTTTAAATATCGTATTGGTCGTGGGTTCGATTCCCACCACAGTCAAGCAAACCTTTCAGCTCATTTTGGACAAACAGCAATATTTTGAAAACGAAGTCAGATGTTGAAAAGTGCAAAATAACTTTGTTACAGATTTAACATAAACTAGATCAACTAAAATTTTATTGCTGGCCGGATCCTGAGATCTTTAATGTTTACCTGTATTTTATTCATGTTATGTTCTTTTATTTATCTTTTATTATTTTTATTTAAAAATATTTAACAACGGTAGCCCTATATCAGTTATAGTTCAAGGGGCCGTTCACACAAGTTACATCAATGACAATGAATCTAAACAAATGTCAAATATATATACAAAAGAAACTTAGACTACAAACTACTACTAATTACTAATTACTATAATGACTATTTACAAGAATATTTTGATTTCAAAATATACACATGGTCATGGAAACTACTCTGCTCCCCCAACAATAGCTCTAAACCTTTTTATGCCCATTGTCTTACTCTTAAGATCATTTGTGAGATCATTCCAACATTTTGCACCAGAGTAACTAATGCTTTTTTTCATGAAATTTCTATTTGGCTTATCTAACTTAAAGTTGTCGATCTATTTTACGATTTAATTATTGACTTCATATACTGTTGTTTTCAGAGTCCAATGTCAGTGGTGTTATGCAACCAAATTGGGAACTACCTCAGAATGAAAGGAAACACGTACCATGCTATTGAATGTTTTAGAAAAGCGTTATACACCGCGCCAAACAACGCAGACATCCTACTAAACCTTGCCAGAGTATTATACAACTTAAAATACCTCGACGATGCTGTATACCTTACCAGAAGGTCGTTAGAAATGCAACCAGCTAATCTGAACTGTTGGCTACAGCACTTCACTCTTGGTGAAATTCTCAAAGAAAGTGGAGAAAAGAAGGAAGCAGCAATCCATTTCAGAAATGCTTTGGATCTAAATCCATCCTTTCAACCTGCCGAGATTCAACTGCAAGAATTGGGCACCATTGCGGACGAGTCGTTTGACTTTTACACGTATTTAATTATCGGTTTCCTTGTGGTTGTAGTGCTGTTTTGGTTGTACATAACTAGTCCAGGAAAAGAGCAGAGTAGCCAGAGTAAACCGCACTGTATGCGTACTAAAGTATTGGCGGGACCTGTAAGAAGGTCGATCAATAGGCGACTGTGATAGACTGGCTTGTGTATGTAGTTTGGCAAGAACTGAATTGCTTTTGGTTTTTGTATTATTCGCTAAAGTAAAACAAAGCAAGTTTTAGAAAAATATATTTACAGATGAAACCAAAGTAACAAGAAGATTAAAACAACAACAACAGCAACAAAAAACGAAGGTTTTGATTCAACAACGAAAGAGTAACCACTCATTTAATTTCGTTTTTCCCACTTACGTTTTTACTTCATATTTCACTAGTGTTTTTTTTTCCTAAATTCCATATTTATTAAAGTGTTTTATTGCTGTACAGTTAGCTAAATGTTAGTTTGTCTAAGGCTTTATTCAGTTCATTTTGTAAATTATTTGTCATGATATTGGTGAAGCTGCGTTTCCTTTTTATAATGTTCGGCAGTATTGATTTACAATGTGAAAACAGATTGAATGAGTGGTTACTCAACTTAGTACTTTTGTTGTGAAATCAAATCCTTTTTTACTTTAAATAGATTAAAACTTTTTTGAACCATAAATTGGATTTCAAAGTTATAGGATGCTGATACAGATTAAAGCATCTAAAAAAGCCCCTAAAGCATCTTTTTGGGCTCAGTAAACTCCAAACCTATATACCCATGCAGATTTCGGTTATTTGTTGCTTGTTTTTTCCCTTATAATATTGTAGTAAAGAAAGCTGTACAGTAAATCAGTTCCTGGCAAACCATACACCAAGCTTTTACTGAAATCGTGGTCACTTTTTTAAATTGCATGTTATTATAAAAATTGAGTAAACCCATCATGACATGGATCACATGTGTTGCTGTGAACTTGTCTTATTTAATAGTGCTTTTCAAGTTGTGTAAAAAATTTTAGTTTATCGTAATTTTTTCAAATTGAAAACAATCAAATTTGAACAAAAAAATATTTCAAAAATAAAGTTTTTCAAATACATTTTTTGTTGTGATCTTTTCAGACCATTTTAGGTGATGTTTTCCAAGTGATGTCCAAATCAGGCAAGTGGAAAACTACTTGATCATGGTGAGATTGTTTTCAGGTAAATTGTATATAATTGGATGATGTTCTCCAAGCGATGTGATGTTCTCCATGTAAACGATGTCCACACCAGGCAAGTGAGAAAATTACTTGATCACAAGTACATTACGGAGTTTACTGCAAACTCGTTCTTATTCAACTTTTAATCGATCCAAATATTTACAATATATTTACAAAAATATCATTAAGCATCGGTAAGGTCGTCATTAAAGTACAAATGTATCGCAGGTAGATAGTGATCTTCATTAATGCTCAGCTGATAGAAGTCCCCGCTCTGGTCTACAATTCCATTTTCTTCCAAAGTCTTCTTCATGTCAAGGTTAACGCCTTCGTATTTCCAGGTGTAGCTGCCTGCGTGTAGGTTGTAGTTGATGTAACGGTCTTGGATCTCTGTGAGGATTTCTTCCGAGCAAACCTAAAATGGTAGGCTGAGGTTAGGGAGGATTTTTCCTTATCGGTAGACAATTTGAATCCGTAGAATTCTCTGCATTTCCAATTGATACATTGCACCTTAATTGATACCGTTGATAGCTAGTGTTTGCCGAAGATTAAAAGCACGTCAAGACAATGTCAGTATACACAGACCAATAAGACCTCTAGGGATAACAGTTTAAACTTGATACAGCAGAGCTCAATCCAGTATATTGGGAGAGAATTTTGGAATGGGGAATTCTTTCACTTTTTGTGGAATATGGAATTTACTTGATGGAATGAGGTCAGATTTTCTTAAATGTGGCGTGAATACGGCGTCAGTTTTTTACGTATTTTGCCAAATCACCCACGGCAATAATGTAAAATTTTTGAGCTTAAGAATTCCACCACACCCTCCGATTCTGTACTGACTATAGCTGTAACACTGGGCGAATAAGGGAGCTGATAAGGAAGACAAATTTGACTGATAAAACTAATACACCCTTTCGATAATTACGTCACAACTACACTGTTTTCAACTTAGGACCACCTTGCATGAAAAGGATTTCAAGTTTTTTTCTCATGGGCTATGCACAAAGAAGAAGAACATCCTTCTTCAACAAATGCATGAAAAAAATGTGGAAATAAGCTTTAACACGAAAATGAGCCTCCAGGTCCAGACCTGTAGCCTCGTTTTCGTGTTATGCTTATTTCCATATCTATTGATCAAAATCCAAAATTTTTTTCGCGCATGTGTTGAAGAAGAATGTTCTGCTTCTCTGTGCGTAGCCCATGAGAAAAAAACAACTTGAAATCCTTCCCATTTAAGATGGTCCTAAGTTGAAAACAGTGTAGTTTTGACATAATTATCGAAAGGGTGTATTGCAGTATAAATAAAATAAATGAATTTTCAGTTTTCTGGCTATACCTCTAAGATTTGTTCTTGTGATGTCAGGGTATTTATTATCCTAATCTTCCTGGTTTTCCCGGACAGCCGACCGATACAGTACGACTCATCCTTCCACCAAGGTCTACCAAAATCATTATCCCAGTCGGTCCTTGGACATTTTGGTGGAATGTGGATGAACCTTCCTCGGGGGGTATATGGGAATACACAATTGGTGTCCGGGTCAATACGGGTCCGTATCTACAAAAAAGAAAGCATAATATGTCATGAACATCATTCAGATAAATGCTTTCCAGGGGGTATATTATGCTACTAATGGCTAGCTAAATCTCCCATAAAACTTAGGAGGATCTGCACTCATCTATGAGGGAGATGGATGTTTAAAGATGTGTATATATAAATAATTTCCAGGGGGGAGGGGGGGACTGTGCTACTATTTTTTTATACCACTGCATGTCTTGTCAAGAGTTCAATTAAATGCATCACTGCTTGATGCCAACTTTTTTATTATAAAGGGTAGGAGGCCGATGCACTGGAGATTAGAGCAGGGTGTACACCTTCTGTAGCCGAACACCTCTATATATTTGGCTATAGTAATAATATAGTGGAATACCTCTTTTGTTTTGCGATCGAACCAATGAGAGATGTCTTTACCTGCTGATTCAATAATTGGTTTTAACAGAACATCTCCTAGTAATCATAATGAAACAAGTATTACCAAAAGTTGAATTTTTTGCTTCTGTTCCTGGTTTAGTATAAATGTATATAAATTTCCCACTCAACAATTTCCATCTACAATACCCATCAAATGGTATTCATTCGAGTGAGATTCCGCAAAAATCTTGATATTTACCCATAACTTAGGGGCCACGTCCATATTCATGTTGCCACAAATAACGTCAAATCGATGTTATTTCTTCACCCACCCACTCCAGAAAACATCAATCAATATTCAGTCGTATTTTGACTTTCATATTTATGATACAAAATCTGTACTGTGATAGTTACTTTGGGCATTAATTGTCAAATTGCCACAAGATAACGTCGATAAGTTCACATAAAAAACACACCCACTTATGTCGATTCAACGTTATTTGTGGCAACACGAAAATGGATGTGACCCCTTATACATGTGTATATACATTAGCTTGTGGTTAGAGCTTGACAACTAGCCTCTGTAGCTCAGTTGGTTAGAGCGCTGCACTGGAATCGCAGGTTCAATTCCTGTCAGGGACCTAAAATTGAATTTTTTGCTTGTGTTCCTGGTTAGGTGTAATAAATGTATATAAATTTCCAATCGATAATTTCCATCTACAATACCCATCAAATTCTACTGACCTGCATATTTCTTGCACAAAGGAGTGAGATCATAGACTTTGCCAAGAAATGACACCCAAATATCTTTTAAAGTGTTATGTATACCGACTTCATTCGGTGTATAATACTTCGGCCTTCGAGCTGCATTGTCCCCCATAGTTTTGAAGCAAAAATACAGCGAATTTCTTGAGGAATATTGATAAATTTTGTTGTCAATATTCACGACATTGGAAAGTTTGGCTTGTTGCTTAGCAACAACTACGCAAGCAGATGCTCGACCCAGACCTTTTACGAAGTGCGCGGAGGCGGGAAATTTTAAAAAACTTTTAAAGATGGCTGATTTAAAAACAGCAAGACTGCAGCAAGTAAGTAAAACAGCACGAAAATTTGGAAGAATGAATCCCTTTCGAAGCAAGAAAATGATCAGAAAGAAAGCTTGAAAGATTACAGAACGTACAAGGTAGGTTTTTACAGCTATTTTGAAGATTATATGGAGTTTTTGAGCTAAAATTTGAAAATTTGACATAAATTTTCATTTTAAAATTTACCTCTTCTTTTAGAGTTTTAGTCTATATATTGGGTTTTGCAGATGTTTTCGTTTGCCGGTTTTTGTTCTATAATTTATTTCCTTAAATTGTTGGCTGTTTCTGGTTTTTGAGACAAAATGTGGTATTTTGGTATCTGCTATATTGCATAGATAAATAAGTAAGTAAATATATTAATATATATGCAAATAAATAAATACTTTTAAATGAGATATCAATATTCTCATATTCATCAATTACTCTTGTATTCATTAATTACTTCTGTTTGCTTGTTCTGCTCTTTAAAATTGTTATAACACTTACTAGTATTCCTTGCTCTAGATACATAGTGTTCTATGTTCTTATCGCACATTCAACCAATACAAAATGCGCTCTGCCACTCCCCCTGAATTAGAACAGGAAGCGACTGGGATGAGGCCGGGCGAGCTTAGCTTTGTTATAAACTGATGATAGGTTGGATCTCACCAAACCGCCCGAGCTGGCTCGCCCCATTGATTAAAATGTTAAATTAAGTGAAATGTTGGTTGATAAAATTTAAAAATAAAATTTTGTTTATTAACAACGTGATTTTAATCGTTCAATGCACTTTTGAATTGAGGAATAATGAATTTCAAGAATTTCAAGTTGCTTTTAAATTTCAACTTGACCACATCAACCTGTTTAAGTTGTGAGACCTGATAAGTAGTAGGCAGCCATTATTTTATTCATGCATTTGAATGCTAATGTCACGTCTCGAGCTATGCATCTTTCAGCACCTGGAACAATGTGGGTCATGTGTATTCTTGGGTTTCTGTCTTTCATATGATGTCACAAAAGTGACAGGGGGTCAACTCTAAAACAAAACACAGTTATCAGAGATTCAGAGTGAGTTAGAGTCGTTTTATGTATTAGCCTTAATGTGTAGTTGGTTGCAAATGCATGGAATTTTGTATCATTTTCTCACTCCAGTATAGCATAAGCATCAATACATTTGATGTTGACTCGTCAGATTCACTGATTCACTGTTGACCCTCGTCAGATTCACTGCATAATGCCGTAGTGAAACCCAAGAATATCAATGTATTAGTGAATCATGACTGACACCCAATTCCACCCAATACAATTACTGTATAGTCCAATTCATGAATTATCATAAATTCAAGAAACTAGAGCAAGTGGTCTTTCAGAATATTAAGAAAAGTTTAGAAAAATTTCGTAAACTTTTGTTTTTCTGGACTGTCTGTGAGAGATTTGAGTGGAACAGAGGATAACATGGACTGCAGTTGCATCGATCTTACGTTAACGTTTTCATTTAGTTTTCACCTTTTTGGTTAGATTATAATTACTTACCAATTAAGATGAGCCTTAATTTTACGTGCAAAAACGGAAAACATCGATCCGAAAACCTTTGCTTTTTTAGCTCTCGCAACCCCCACGCGAACTACACGCGTGTTTTACACCTACAAGAGATCATTCTATTTGGCGCCATGTTGGCTTTGAACACCCAATCGTAGGACCGTTTACCTTATCATAGAGTGAACACACTCGGCTGGGATTTATTAAAGATTAAAGAACGAGGCAGTTCTCTTCAACGCTAATTTATTGGAGGTCGTATACTTCAATTGATCCTATATTTACTCTTCCACATAATGATAAGCAATAATAATTTCCGGCACATGTGAAATTAATTTTTGCATATTCAACTTTTAACTTCATATGTGAAAAGTATGTGAAACTCAAATTTCATATGTGAAAATTCATAATTTCACATATTATGCAATTTCACATTTACGTTTTCCAATTCCACATAAAATTTTACATGTGAAACGATATGTAAATTTTCCATATGGGTTATTCCTGAAGATGACTAAACTTTAGTCAAAACTTATGGAAATAAACAATGTTGAGAATATCCAGCAGAAATACAGTTAGTTTAGACAGTATAGTTTAGTTTATAGTTAATTTAAATTCTCAGATACTCTATAACATATAAACATTTTTGCTATACCACAACTGTTTTTTTAATATCCCAACTGGTGAAATATTATTTGATCTCATTGTCTGCCAACAGGTAAAAATGAGAACTATTATTAAATTTAATGATACACTAGCAGTCAAGTATTTTGTTTCTACGAAAATTTTTAACTGGACTTTTACGTATATGGTTGAGGAGACTAATTTTATATTGCTGCGCAAATGGACTCTAAAAGTTGTTTGCCATGGAAGTTCCTGGCTAAAATTGACGAAAAGTTGGCCCTGTGAAGCTACTATGGAAAGTCGAAACATATAAATACTACAACTACGAAAGCTGTATCAAACACTGAATTTAGTGATGTTATATTCACAGTGAACTACGAGTTGCGTATTGGATCCTATAACTAAGTTTGGCTCGAAGAATAATAATACAAGTCAAATTTTGTAACATTGTACACTGGAAGGAGAATTGTTTTCAACTCTTTTTTAATTAAACGAAAGTTGGAAAATACAGTGAAGTAAGAAAGTTTGCCTCAAAGAAACGTTCAAGTTCAGGTCGGAAGTTTTTGAAACGAAATTTGGAAAGCAATTAATAATTTCTTCTGAGTTGTTTCACAAAACGGAGACAAATTTCGTCTGAAATTTTATCCGTAATGAACTGACAGAGTTCGCCTCAAACCTTGGAACCGTTATAACTGGAAGCAAATTCTTAACTGAAGACAAAGAAAATAATGTTTGGCTTTTTTCGTATGTTGACAAGACGAAAGCAAGTTTCATCTGAAATAAGTGCGACAAACTTGAGCCGCTGTTTAACGACCTGGGACCTAGTCTCGTTGAGTATCGGAGCAACGTTGGGGGCTGGGATCTACGTTGTGACTGGCCAGGTTGCAGGAAGCATTGCAGGCCCAGCGGTCATTCTTTCCTTCACAATTGCTGCCATCGCTTCCGTCTTGTCCGGGTTGTGTTATGCCGAATTCGGCGCTCGTGTTCCGCACACAACCGGGTCAGCGTACACTTACAGTTACGTCACAGTCGGCGAATTTGCGGCGTTCGTGATTGGTTGGAATTTAATATTGGAATACATGATCGGCGCGGCCGCAGACGCACGGGCACTCAGCGGTTGTTTTGATTACGTCATCGGTCACGCGATTCGTAACCTCACCTTAGCACACATCGGAACATTTCATATCCCTACCCTCGGGGATACGTATCTGGACTTTTTATCCTGCATACTAACTCTCGTAGTGACTGGCGTTCTGGCCTCGGGGGTTAAACAGTCCTCGGTGTTCAGTACTGTATGTAATGTAGTTAACCTTGCCGTTATTGGGTTCATTATAATTGCTGGCGCCTTTTATGTAAAGCGTGAAAACTGGAGTCAGAAATCTGGATTTTTTCCGTTCGGTGTTTCCGGAGTTTTGGGCGGTGCTGCCACGTGTTTTTACGCTTTTGTAGGGTTCGATGTGATAGCTACCACAGGACAGGAGACTAAGAACCCACAACGTTCCATACCATTGGCCATAATGATAAGCCTTTTCGTAGTATTTATGTGTTATTTTAGTGTATCCTCCATTATTACCCTAGTGTTGCCGTATTATAAGTTAGACAAGCTCTCCCCGATACCCGATGCTTTTGCGCAACGTGGCCTCCACATTGCAACATATATTGTTGGCATTGGAGCTGTGTGTGGTCTGTCCTCAAGCCTCATGGGCTCCCTGTTCCCACTGCCGAGGATAATTTATGCAATGGCAAATGATGGGCTACTGTTTGAGCCCTTCCGAAAAATAAGCTTTGGATCTGATATTCCTCTTGTGGCAACGATCTACCCAGGAATTTTGGCTGCGATTTTTGCTCTCGTTTTTAACTTGGACGAGTTGGTCGAAATGATGTCGTTAGGGACGCTTCTCGCTTATACCCTGGTGTCCTTATGTGTTCTAATCCTTCGCCATCAACCGGACAGTCACTTGAGCACTGGTGATATTTCCTCAGACAGTAGTTTTTACTTTGGTGAACTTGCTCTCACCGATAACCGAGCGTCTGAAAATTCGGAAAAAGAAAAAGTTGACGAAACTTTTGAAACTGAGGACACACCTGTGGATAACTTGGATGAAAGTGGGACAGATAATGGCAATTTGGGTAAGAAGAGGGTGTATATGGACACGGAAATGAGGACGTCTATGGATGAAATATGTAAAAATGAAGAATTTGTGGATAAAGCGAGTATGTGCCAGAGAGGTGAAAAGAGGAAAAACTTGAATGCGAAGAATTTAAGAAAACCCGAATTAGACGAAGACAGTAGTGGTAAACAGGGTGAAGAAAGGTTATATGCTACTAATCTGGTTCACAAGGAAAAGACCGTTTGGGATAATAATGAGACAGTTCAATTCTCATTTCCCACAGAGAAAACCGGTCGTACAGTATGTTGGGCTTCATTACTTCTGTGTATTTCATCTTTCATGTTCTTCGCCCTAATGATCCATGCTTCGGACCTTATATTACACAGAGATTATTTGGTCATTTCCCTAACACTAATCATGGGATTTCTATCCATCATTTGTATCGGTGTTATCACAGCAATGCCACAGAACTCGAGCAAATTATCCTTCAATGTTCCGTGTGTCCCAGGGATTCCTATCATGGCAATTTTCTTCAACATACTACTGATGATGAAGCTATCACGAGTCACGTGGCTGCGGTTTGTCATATGGATGGTGATAGGTAAGGATGGCAGTTTTATACAATTTCTGAGTTGCTTTTTATTTCTTTCTATTGGTGGTTTTCATGCAGTAAGCGTCAATTTCAGAAGTGTTAAAATATTTATGCAACGACATTTCACACCATTTATTGTCCAGAAAATTCAAATTGACCAGATAGGATATAGGATACTTTGTCAAACTATCTTAGCTTTCTTCGTTCTTGAGATATTTTAACAATTTTTGATATGCAAATTATGCTCACTATGACGTCACATTGCATACCGAGTTTCTGAAAAAAACCTTCAAGATCTAGATCTTGGGATATCGTGCATCGAAATCATAAAACCGTTTAAATGTGTTATGTCCAACATACTACAAATACTTATTAAAAGACACGTTCATTTGAGACTTTGCTTCTGACAGTTGAAAACTTGTATTAAGTTGTTGTGTCAGTCATTCAAATGAGTGAGTAAATTATTTCGCATGTGTTTCATCAGTGCATACAAGTGATTATGAATTGGCGTAACTTTTTTATATACATATTATTAATGAGTAAGAATGACTCAATATGGTTTCACGTGCAATTTGGAAGAATATACTCGTGCATTTTTATCGTCTTTGAAAAACTCACTCGTGCATGTTTTGTTTTCCAAATTGCACTTAAAAACCATAATATTACGTAGCTACCTGCATGGCACTAATTTCATGTGTTCTTATATATTCCTTTAATTTTCCACCAATTAAGAACTACTGACCTAATCTCAGTTTCACCTAATTTCATATTTCGTTATTTTCTCTCCAATATATAGGTCTTGCCATTTATTTATTTTATGGACTACGACACAGTCTTGTCGGACTGCAGGTCTGCAGCTAAAGTGAAATCCCATGTAAAATTAAACGACACAGTCTTGTCGGACTGCAGCTAAAGATGAAATCCCATGTAAAATTAAAACAGCGACCTTGTGTCCTTGCTAAAAATCTTTGTCAATTTGAATACGATATGGACCTGGAATAACGTGGCCATGTGTGTATCAACGTACATTAGTGAATCATGACTGACACCCAATTCCGCCCAATAAGAAACTGAGCAAGTGGTCTTTTAGAATATGAAGAAAAGTTTAGAAAAACGTCGTAAACTTTTGTTTTTCTGGACTGTCTGTGAGAGATTTGAATGGAACAGAGGATAACATGGCTGCACTTGCATCGATCTTACCTTAAAGTTTTCATTTAGTTTTTACCTTTTTGGCTAGGTTATAAATTAGTTACCAATTAAAATGAGCCTTTACGAGCAAAAACGGAAACATCGATCCGAAAACCTTAGCTTTTCTCGCTCTCGCGAACCCCACGCGAACTACACGCGTATCTTACACCTACAAGAGATCACTCTATTGTGCGCCGTGTTGACTTCAACCAATCGTAGGACCGTTTACCTTATTAAAGAACGAGGCAGTTCTCTTCAACGCTAATTAACTGGACGTCGTATACTTTAGTTGTTCCTATATATATCCTCTTCCACATAATGATATAAGCAATAAAATTGTCGCATGTGAAATTAATTTTCGCATATATTCAACTTTTAATTTGACATGTGAAAAAATATGTGAAACTCAAATTTCAAAACAATCTTGAGAATATCCAGCATAAATACAGTTAGTTTAGACAGTTTAGTTTATAGTTAATTTAAACTCTTAGTTACTCTATAATATATAAACATTTTTGCTACCACACGTGTTTTTTAATATTCCAACTGGTGAAGTATTATTTGATCTCATTGTCTGCCGACAGGTAAAAATGAGAACTATTATTCAAAAACCAGGTACATTTTACGACACCAGAAAACTTCATTGAATGACAATTTTAAAAACGTTTATTATATTGTAAATGTTTATCGGCTTTTGTTGCTGTTCCGCAACGTAAACTATACAAGAAGTCAAACAATTGTTAGTTACATATGAAGATTTGGAAACTATCGCATTTAACTGTATAATATCGCGATCGCTGATTTTATTAAGAAATCGGGTGAGATGTATATTTTTTGAAGGTTTTACGCTACAGAGTTTAATGATACATTGGTAGTCAAGTATTTTGTTTCTACGAGAATTTTTAACTGGACTTTTACGTATATGGTTGAAGAGACGAATTTTATATTTCTGCGCAAATATTATTTTCTACAAATTTACGAATTACGGACTCTAAAAATTGTTTGTCATGGAAGTTCCTGGCTAAAATAGACGAAAAGTTGGCCCTGTGAAACTACTATGGAAAGTCGAAGCATATACTACAACTACAAAAGCTGTACCAAAGACTGAATTTATAAGTGACGTTATATTCATAGCGAACTACGAATTGCGTATTGGAACCTAACAAAGTTTGGCTAGAAGAATAATAATACAAGTCAAATTTTGTAACATTGTACACTGGAACAGTGGAAGGAGAATTGTTTTCAACTCTTTTTTAAACGAAAGTTGAGAAAACAGTGAAGTAAGAACGTTTGCCTCAAAGAAACTTTCAAATTCAGGTTGGAAGTTTTTAAAACGAAATTTGGAAAATAATAATAATTTCTTCTGTTGGTTCACAAGACAAAGACAAATTTCGTCTGAAATTTCATATGTAATGAACGTTCGCCTCAAAGAACATTTCTAGCGCTGAAATAAATTTATTGGAACCGTTATAACTGGAAGCAAAGTTTTAACTGAAGACAAAGAAAATAATGTTTGGCTTATTTCGTATGTTGACAAGACGAAAGCAAGTTTCATCTGAAATAAGTGCGACAAACTTGAGCCGCTGTTTAACGACCTGGGACCTAGTCTCGTTGAGTATCGGAGCAACGTTGGGGGCTGGGATCTACGTTGTGACTGGCCAGGTTGCAGGAAGCATTGCAGGCCCAGCGGTCATTCTTTCCTTCACAATTGCTGCCATCGCTTCCGTCTTGTCCGGGTTGTGTTATGCCGAATTCGGCGCTCGTGTTCCGCACACAACCGGGTCAGCGTACACTTACAGTTACGTCACGGTCGGCGAATTTGCGGCGTTCGTGATTGGTTGGAATTTAATATTGGAATACATGATCGGCACGGCCGCAGACGCACGGGCACTCAGCGGTTGTTTTGATTACGTCATCGGTCACGCGATTCGTAACCTCACCTTAGCACACATCGGAACATTTCATATCCCTACCCTCGGGGATACGTATCTGGACTTTTTATCCTGCATACTAACTCTCGTAGTGACCGGCGTTCTGGCCACGGGGGTTAAACAGTCCTCGGTGTTCAGTACTGTATGTAATGTAGTTAACCTTGCCGTTATTGGGTTCATTATAATTGCTGGCGCCTTTTATGTAAAGCGTGAAAACTGGAGTCAGAAATCTGGATTTTTTCCGTTCGGTGTTTCCGGAGTTTTGGGTGGTGCTGCCACGTGTTTTTACGCTTTTGTAGGGTTCGATGTGATAGCTACCACAGGACAAGAGACTAAGAATCCACAACGTTCCATACCATTGGCCATAATGATAAGCCTTTTCATAGTATTTATGTGTTATTTCAGTGTATCCTCCATTATTACCCTAATGTTGCCGTATTATAAGTTAGACAAGCTCTCCCCGATACCCAATGCTTTTGCACAACGTGGCTTCCATATTGCAACATATATTGTCGGCATTGGAGCTGTGTGTGGTCTGTCCTCAAGCCTCATGGGCTCCCTGTTCCCACTGCCGAGGATAATTTATGCAATGGCAAATGATGGGCTACTGTTTGAGCCCTTCCGAAAGATAAGCTTTCGATGTGATATTCCTCTTGTGGCAACGATCTACCCAGGAATTTTGACTGCGATTTTAGCTCTCGTTTTTAACTTGGACGAGTTGGTCGAAATGATGTCGATAGGGACGCTTCTCGCTTATACCCTTGTGTCCTTATGTGTTCTAATCCTTCGCTATCAACCGGACAGTCACTTGAGCACTGGCGATATTTCCTCAGACAGTAGTTTCGACTTTGGTGAACTTGCTCTCACCGATAACCGAGACTTTGAAAAAAATTTCAAAGCGTCTGAAAATTCGGGAAAAGAAAACGTTGACGAAACTTTTGAAACTGAGGACACACCTGTGGATAACCTGGATCAAAGTGGAATAGATAGTGGCAATTTGGGTAAGAAGAGGGCGTATATGGATATGGAAATGAGGACATCTATGGATGAAATATGTAAAAATGAAGAATTTGTGGATAAAGCGAGTATGTACCAGAGAGGTGAAAAAAGGAAAAACATGAATGCGAAAAATTTAAGAAAACCCGAATTAGACGAAGACAATAGTGGTAAACAGGGTGAAGAAAGGTTATATGTTAGCAATCTGGTACACAAGGAAAAGACAGTTTGGGATAATAATGAGACAGTTCAATTATCATTTCCCACAAAGAAAACCGGTCGTATAGTATGTTGGGCTTCATTACTTCTGTGTATTTCATCTTTCATGTTCTTCGCCCTAATGATCCATGCTTTGGACCTTATATTACACAGAGATTATTTGGTCATCTCCCTAACACTAATCATGGGATTTCTATCCATCATTTGTATCGGTGTTATCACAGCAATGCCACAGAACTCGAGCAGATTATCCTTCAATGTTCCGTGTGTCCCAGGGATTCCTATCATGGCAATTTTCTTCAACATATTTCTGATGATCAAGCTATCACGAGTCACGTGGCTGCGATTTGTCATATGGATGGTGATAGGTAAGGATGGTAGTTTTAAACAATTGCTGATTTTCTTTTTAATTTATTTCTATTGGTGGTTTTCATGCAGTAAGCGTCACCGGGCTGCAGATGGTGGTCAATTTCAGATTTATGCATGCAACGACATTTCACACAATTTATTTTTGATTGCATTGTCCAGAAAATTCAAATTGACCAAATAGGATACTTTTCCGAACTATATCTTAGTTTGCTAAACGAACTATCTTTAACAATTTTTGATATGCAGATTATCTTCACTATGACGTCTCATTGCACAATGATTTTCTGAAAAAAACTTCAAGATCTTGGGACATCGTGCATCGAAATCATAAGACTGTTGTTTTTGTTCAACACACTACAAATATTTATTTTTTTAAAATTTGAATCAGTCATCTATATAAAAGTTTTCAAAAGTTATTATGCAATGTTACGTCACTGTGAGGATAATTAACATAAAAAAACATTGAGTTTGAAAGTGTGAAATTTCGTATCGTAATGCAATGCAATGCGAAAATATGTAATTAAGTGCCTAAAGAGTAATACGTGGCAAACACATAAACACGTTCATTTAAAATTTGACTTGTGACATTGACAGTCATTCAAATGAGTGAGTAAATTGTTTTGGATACATGTGATTATGAATTGGCGTGACTTTTTTATGTATATTATTGATAAGAACATGGTTTCACGTGCAACTGACTTGGCCTCGTAGCTCAGTTGGCAGAGCATTGGAGTAGTATCCCAAAGGTTTCGTGTTCGATTCCCACCGCGGTCAGGCTAACTTTTCTGTTTTCAGCCTGCCCGGTGTGGATATACACTCAGAGTAACATCAAAAACATCATAACATACTGGTTCTTGCATTTTTTATCGTCTTTGAAAAACTCACTCGTGCATGTTTTGTTTTCCAAATTGCACTTAAAACCATACTATTACGTAACTACCTGCATGGCACTAATTTCATGTTTTCTTATATATTCCTTTAATTTTCCACCGATTAAGAACTACTGACCTAATTTCAGTTTCACCCAATTTCATATTTCGTTATTTTCTCTTCAATATATAGGTCTTGCCATTTATTTCTTTTATGGACTGCGACACAGTCTTGTTGGGCTGCGGCTAAAGATGAAATCCCACGTCAAATTAAAACAGCGACCTTGCGTCCTTGCTAAAAGTCTTTGTCAATTTGAATACGATATGGACGTGATTCCGGCACATCGTGACCTCGCCGAGGGCAAGACGTCGCCAATAAGTCCTATTTTCTGGTCCAGTTTGCAGAAATACCATTTCTTTGCTACTGATCATGATGAAAGAGACGATATACATGGGTTTTACTGATTCAAATGGCAAATATATCGAAATCCTCATTTGAAAGAAAGACAGAAGAACAACATCTTCTTAAAGCCGGTTTTCCACGACAACAAAAAACAAACAAACGGCCATTCATTTTTTTTCGCTAGCCAATCACGTTTACGAATTGATGTTTTCGCGAGTAAATCCGCCTAGTGGAAAACGGGCGCTGTGCGATCTCGTACCCAGAGCATGCCCATTCGCAGGTTAGGGGTGCATGGGCAACTTGGTGTTCGCCATAACACCTGCAAACGAGATTGAATGCTGTGCAATTGACGGCTATCAGTAAACATTGCATGTCTATATATGATATTTTCAACTTTAGCGGCCAGTTGTATGAAGGCTGATAGCGCTATCGACCGGCTGGTGATTTTTGAAACCGATGTGAAAATGGTTGAAAAGCTATAAAACTACGGCTATGGACATCACAATTAATAGAAAGAAACTTTAATTTATAAATACTAGTTAGTCTATTGTGGTTTATACTAACCAACGAACAATTTTAGAAAGTCTGAAAAAATCACTATCCAGTGGATAACAATGATTGCAATTTGTGCTTGTTGTTCTTCGGTGGCGCAACTGTCAGAGCAAGCGTTTCAGTTTCACCTCTGAGATCGTGGGTTCGATTCTCGCAACGGACTCATGTGAAAAGAGTCTGTCGACGCTCTGTCGAATGTCGTGGGTTTTCTCTGGCCGTTCCGGTTTCCTCCCACAGGGAAAGTTAACAGGTTGGGTTGGGATAAACATAGTTAGCAAAATGATATCACAAATGTTGTACGTAAATAGTCTAGGCTAAGTATGTAACCTAACATGACATACGTAAGCCTAATAGAGGATTTAGTCGGTCACTGAAAACCCCCAATGGGGAATAAGCTGAATAACAATGTAATAATGCTGTAACACTATTCGGCCTTCGTACAAAGCCGGAAGAAAGTTTAACTCCATTTCTTTTTCTTAATTTTTGCTCCTGTAAATACAAAGTATATATAACTTTGAAATAATATCACTTTAAATTTTGTCTCAGCTAGTTTTTATATCACAACTTGTATCTTGTTTACAAGATGTAATCTTACGTAAATTTTCCAAATCCGAAAATGAGGAAAGGACAGAATTTCAAGTCCCAGTAGTTTGTGCCAGTCTGAGACAAAACCATTTACTAGTCAGTCGTTGAAAATTCGGCTTTGGATTAGACGGCTAAAAGGAAAGGTCTGATTGGCTTTTCAGAGACCCACTACATACCGGTAGATGAGCAGTTTTGGATAGGAAAAATTATCCTATGAAAATACGTCCCTTCTATTTCTCGTCCCAGCTATCAATACACACAAGCATGCGCATCAGAAACTATAATGCAAGTTTTCTCCACTTCCGGTTTTGTATTTCTCTCCAAGGAATCAGTATCATCATGCCATGAGCAAAATAAAACAATATGGTTTACTAATTTCCTCATGAATTACATGATTTGAGATGTACTACTAGTAATTTCCTCATGAATTACATGATTTGAGATTACCTCATGAATTACATGATTTGAGAGGGGTGTAGTTTTAGCAGATTAAACACGAGGCGACAGCTGAGTGTCTTATATCTGATAAAGCACGGACTGCGAGTGTTTTACTGTAAATGGCTAAAAAACGACCCGTCTGATGAGTTTATTGGCGCAGTAATTGTGAAAATAAAGTTTTCTAAGGCGAGAAAATCAAAGCTACTGTAAAGTTTATGTAAATGAACATGAATTTTTATCACATTTAAAACCAGCGACACGATAGTGATTTCCTTAGCGTTTGTGAATTATTAATGCTTTTCAGTAAATGTATTAACAGCATGAAACATTACCAAATATATAATAAAGAAAACATAAAAATAACATAAAATTATACTAAAACTCCAAAATAGTGTTTCCTAAAACCGTGTTTTTTAACATTTTCCCGCAGATTTGTGCTGAAAATCGATTTGGAATTTGCCGTCTCTACTGAATTCTTAAAGGTCGTAGTTTAACACAAACCTAATTAGTCCATCCATTCCAACTCCCATATCTCTCTAATTATCCCCTCATTACCTCCATTTACCTCATGAAATATAGCCCCGATTACCCTCTACTGTCCATTTCTACCCCTATAAAACCCTGCTATATTCCATATCGGATTGTTTCTACAAGGTTTCGGCTTGGCATTATACGTTCCCCTAAAGCTCGTATAGTTGAAAGTCTTGTCCATAGTACCACACGGATATGTAATACCGGGGATCGAGTACTTTTTCTTTTTCCTTTTCGACAAAGAATGCAGCCAGAATTTCTCAACCTCAACAGGATAGCTTCCATGCAGGGCTAAGAAATTTCCGCAGATATCATCATAGTACTGTAAGATGTGGTCTCTCGCAGCCACGGCATGATGTACCCTACGGTCTCCGAAATAAGTCACTCCCGGAATGTTGTTTATCCACATGGCCATGGCCTGATCGCCGTATGCGTGGCACATGAGTGTCTTGTTCTGTTCACGTAGGAACGTTTGTGCAAGGTCATTGCTCACGATCACGAACCCTTCATCCACTCGGATACCACCTGTGGGGGAAATCAAACCTTGTTAGAGATATATCTAAAGGCGCTGTTACACTATGCTATTTGTCTCGCAATTTTGTTGCGATAGGCAAGTTGCACGCTAAATTGCAAGGTGTATATCATGTCTCGCAATCAACAACTCTCGCAATGTTATTGTTGCAACAACCATTGCACGAAGTTGAATCAGGTTACTTTTTGCAACGATTGCGGCAACGTTGGAACGTATTTTTAAAGCATTGCACAATGTAACATCTCTCTTGAAAACTAGTCTCGCAATGTTTATACACTGAATAGCTTCCTGTTGGCTTTTGACTGTCAATCTGGCGCCAAACGTTAGCAATCGCGGTTTTTAAACTGTGATCATTGCAAGTTGCATGGGACATACTGCTTGGTGTAACATCCCTAACTGCAATGCAATGCAATGCTGAAATCCTCTTTCTTAACATTGCGAGACAAGTTCCGAGACAAGTTGCTTAGTGTGAAAGCACCTTTACTAAACTGTTTTGCTTAGAGTACAATGTATATCACTTATTGTATGGATTTTTCGCATCTCACTCGATTAATCTAAATGTAATCACAGGTTTGATTCCTGCCTCAGAGGGCCTAATTATCCAGAGGCAGAGGTCCACTATAATGGTCATACTCCTAGACGTCTCTTCATCATCTGTTTGTGCTCCTAGCTTTCCATTCACTTTCCACTTTTCTATTCAGTGTATTTCTTGCTCTTTTTACTGTCTCATCTAGTGGTGAGCACCATGCATGGAACCTAGTCTCGTTTGTGTTTCTCCATATTCTTGTTTAATTTAATTGTCTATGTAAGTTCTGTAGGATATTGTCTAGTTATCTACGTGCCAAATTAAAGCTGTTAAATTAAAAAGATTACCTGCTGGACTGCAATGCACATGACCCCAATACAATTTCTCTCGTGACCGATGCGGCAACTCAAGCAGTAGTCTATCCATGCACACAAAGTAGTCGTCATCGACGCGCAAGAAATATTCAAACTTATACCGCGCATTTGCCCAATTCAATATCCACAGATAACGCCGTGCGAAGTTGATACCCCCGGGACTTTGTGTTTGGATCAAATCTCCGTGGAGCAATTGTTCCTGTTGTAATGGAACGTTGATATGATCTGGTAGTTTATTGCCATACATGTCTTGACTATCTGTGAAAAACAAGCATGGGATTCCCTTTCTTTTACATTGTTTTAACCAACTTCTTCGCAACGCATTCCTTCGAAATATCAACTGCGGTGCGCTGATGATACCGACAAAAATGATCGCTCTCTTCTTTCCATCTTTTCTTTTATTCCTCTTTCTAACTCTTCTTTTTTTTGTAGCGTTGAAACCTACTAGTACTAGTACTTTCTTATGACTTTTGCTAGGTATTCCCGTTGAGTTTTTGCTTGTAGAGCGCTCAAAGTACCTATCCAAATAGCCACGTGTCCAATTCGTTAAACTTCTTGCCAGGGGTTGAACGGAAAAATGCCTCTTTTCGCGGTTAAAATGAAAATTAAACAGAACGTAAACTGTTGTGATAACGACGCAAGTTTTGAGAAATAAAACAGCACAAAATAAATTGGAACAACATTTCAAATTTCTTCCGCTAGTCATCGTTTTGTAAAATGGTCCTCCGTTTGTTTTGAAAGAGTGGACAATGCCATTTTATTGTCCAAAATTTGTTTTAAATTTCCCGCAGGTCGTACGAAAGTACTAGCAGGTCCAAACTATAGTATAACTATGCCATACAGTTGGTTTTCTATATAATTAACCAAACACATGCACAGATAAGTCACTACAGATAATTAATGATTATAGATTATAGGAAATATTCATTGATCTCAAGATTCATATTGGCTTTCGCTTACCCCAAGATTGCCATTACAACTTGGTTTACATGCGCCAATTAAATACGAAAAAAGTAATAGGAATAGGCTTTTTATTTCTATTTTTGAAGCGAGTGTATACCTGCAAATAGGAAACACTTTTAACAACATTAAATTAACACGACAGGAAACGGTTGATTAATCTAAGTTAGAAGCTCGTATGAGTATGACATAGGAACGGAGCTAAATTATTGAAAAAGCGAACCCTTGCTAAGGTATTCTATATTCTTGAGATGTATATAAAAATGTTCCATTCCGTTCAGAATTTATAGTGCACATGAAAGGAAAATTTTTATTAATTGTCTCATTTAAAAGAACTAAATAATAATAAAAACTGTATGGTAACTTATTTTGCAGTTTTCCGTTCTGTTGCCTCGTTTTCGAGACATTTCAGTTAGTTTGATATGCGTGTCAAGGTTTCTGTACGTCCAAATATGCATTTATCATTATTATTATTATTATTATTATTATAATAATATGGTTTATTGAACTCGCGTAGAGGAAAGAGCCTGCATGGGTACGAGGTACATTACAAAGTTCATACACTGAATAAAACTATGATATACTGTAGTTTAGAATGTCAATTAATATTTCAAAAACTCCCTTAAGGTTACTATTCTCCTTTAAAATTATTTGAGCAACAGAGAAGTTTTTAAAACGTTCAGTTTTACACAAGTAATTATTATATTTGCGTGATCTTTTCTCATCGTCTGATGACACAATTCTACTAATTTGTCATTCTTTTTGTTTTGTTGAAAGATGATACATGAGTTTGGTGAAAATGTTATATATTCCTGTTGTTATGATATGAAATTACTAGAGAATCCAGGATATTTGATGTTGTAGAACAACGCAAATACACAATATACTTCTATAATGCGATTGTGTTCGATAATAGCAATTTAAGTCTTAACCATGACACGTATATCAAACTATAACTGAAACATCAGCTCGAAAACGAAGCAACGGAACTAAAAACTGCTAAAGAAGTTACGGTTTTTATAAATAAGACAATAAAAAATTTTCTACTCCTATACTATCCCTATAGTTTAATTTGCCTATCATCCAATTATATTCCTAGCTATATTACTATCACAATCCATCCCTGTATATCCCTAACACGATTCCCCATTAGCTACGCTGTATACCCATATATAACACAGATTACCCTTTACTACCCATTTCTACCTCCATAAAACTCTCCTATGTTCCAGATCGGGTTTTCTCTACAGGGTCTTGGCTTGGCATGATACATCCCACCAAAACTCCTATAGTTGAAAGTCTTACTCATCGTACCACAAGGATATGTGACAGGAGGTATAGTGTATTTTTTCTTTGTCGTTTTACTCAAATAATGTTTCCAGAACAAGTCGACATCTGCAGGATAGCTGCCATGTAGGGCTAAAAAATTCTCGCAGAAGTCCTTATACTGTAGAATTTTGTTCCTATTAACCACAGCATGGTGTACCCTAGGGTCTCCGAAGTAGGTCACCCCAGGGATATTGTTTATCCACATGATCATGGCCTGATCGCCATATGCGTGACACATGAGTGTCTTGTTTTGTTCACGTAGGAACGTTTGTGCAAGGTCATTGCTCACGATCACGAAGCCTTCGTCAACTCTCACTCCACCTGTGTGGAAATAATTAGTGTGGGTTAGTGTACTTGAAAGTTCAGTCAGACAATCCAGTTTTTATTATATGAATAGTGTCTTAATTTAAATGTTTGCTGTTAGTGCAGGTGGCGAAGAATACGACTTGCAGGTTTCTGTGCATGATGGTAACCATTTGTAAAATGGACAGAAGGCCACAGAGTTTGTATTCAAGAACAGTTTTATCAACTGTGTGTCACCAGATCTCTATTTGTATTAGTTTCATCTCTCGAGTATTAGTTTGAGAGCATTAGTTAGTATTAAGTCTCTTTTCCACTCATCGCAAAAGCCAGCATGAAAGCTCGCTCATGCATGCATGTGGATACTTTGATCGTATCATCGGTATCATGCCAGTGATCCTTTGCACGCTTGGCGTCCCAGCTAGAAAATGGCTGACTCTTGAGATATTTATAAGTGCTCTCCAAGATTTAATTTGTATTGGCCCATATTTATCGGAATCCTGTTGAAAAACAACTCTGGTAAACGAAGTAAGTCGTATCTTGTGAAATGTTGCGTAAATATGCAAAATGATTGTAATGAAAGTATATTCATCAGATAATATACAAAGATACAGCTGAATGTAAACAAAATCTAAAACAAAAGTCAAAGCATCACTGGCATGACACTCACTCAATAAAAGCCTTTAGTATAAAAAAATTGTATACTGATAGGTGATTATTGAAAATTCTCCACGCTGATTGGTTGCCGTTGAGATGATTATAACGCGATAATCACCCAAGCGATTTTCGAAATTGCGGCCGAAGCCGTTTTGCCGATTAAATGACGAAGAAATGTGTATTTTTTATTTTTTCCAAATAATCACCTATGGAATTATACTAAAACAATTATTCACCTCAGGGTCGGTGATTATCGTGAATAAAAACCTCGACTTCGTCTCGGTTTTATTCACCAATAATCACCTCGCCCGACTAAAACACAGAGGAGAAATGATAGAACTATTCCCTATAAATGAAATTACTGTAGACTGTAGTATGTAAACTGTTTTTATACCTGGTGGACTGCAATGCACATATCCCCAATACAATTTATCTCGTGACCGATGTGGCAACTCAAGCAATAGTCTATCCATGCACACAAAATAATCATCATCGATGCGCAAGAAATATTCAAACTGATATCGCGCATTTGCCCAATTTAACATCCATAGATAACGCCGCGCGAAGTTGATACCCCCAGGACTTTGTGCTAGAATCAAATCTTTATGAAGCAATTGTTCCTGCTGTAATGGCACGTGTATATTGTCTGGTAGTTTATTGCCATGCATGTCTTGACTATCTGAGAAAAACAAGCATGGGATTCCTATACACTGTGTTAACCAACTTTTTCTCAACGCATTCCTTCGTGATATCAACCGCGGTGCACTCATGATGCCGACAAAAATCATTACTTTCTTCTTACTTGCAAAATGACCACCAGTCTTCGTTGTCCAATTCGTTAAACCTGTTGCAACTGGGGCTGGTTCAACAGAACTATTCCACGTTTCGCGGTTCAAGTGATAAGCTACCAAAATGTACGCTGCTGTGATAATGACAACAATGTTAAGAAGTAAAATAGCAACAAATAAGTTCGAACAGCATTTGAAATTCGTTGTACTAGTCATGCTTTTATTTTGACTTTGCCAAAATTGTTTTATCATGCATGTCTCCGGTGCAGCGTGGTGCACTCGGCATGCAGAAGCCCAGGTTGCGTGGCAACCATTCAATTTGCAGTCTGTATTTTGTACAATAGTTGATTAGGACTCTCAGTTAAAAAGATTATTTGATATACATATACATAAGGACTCCCAGCTATAGGAGTAAATTAATGCATGACATGTACATTGAAAATATAAATGCATGAAATATAAAAAAATGAATGCATGAAATATATATTGTATTATTGTAAAAAGTAAAATAACAATATGCAAATTAGGTAAATGCGTGAATTATATAAAGCATACGCGAAGAAGAATAGACAATTCCCATTATAGACTAATTTTAAAACTAGGCAAGGAGATGCAAATAAATCACCACAGGTAGAAAGAGCATACTAAAATTAGTAAATTTGCAAAGTTTGGTTGCGAAATGTTGTAAAATATGGAAAATATAGCCTTGCAAAGTTCGCAAATTTTGTATACTTTTGTATTGCGTGCGACCATTTTCGGCCCAAATGTGGTAGGAATGTGGTAGGAATTCCGCACGCAATACAAAAGTATACAAAATATGCGAACTTTGCAAGGCTATATTTTCCGCATTTTACAACATTTCGCAACCAAACTTTGCACACTTACTAATTTTAGTATGCTTTTTTTAGCTGTTGTGATTTATTTGAGTCTACTTGCCTTGTTTTAAAATTAGTCTATAATGGGAATTGTCTATTATTTACCTTTAAATATTTTTAGCCATTATAAGCTTTAATGTAGATCTATCATAATATGTAAATAACCTAAATATTTTTGGCCATTATAAACTTTAATGTAGATCTATCACATTATTATGTACATAACTCGTTAATTCATTTGTCTATAAGTATAACTGCAAAGTCAGAGAGTTTATTAAACCATCTATAAAATAATAACTAAAGCTCAATAACTCGAGTACCACACGTCACACATGTTAAATGTTAAGTGATCCTGAGGCTATCAATTTCTTTTATTTATTTATATATTAAATTATTTATTTAGATTCGTCTGCAATAATACAACAATTTCCATACACGTAAATACATGCAATAAACACATGCCACTATAAAAACATACGGTATGTCAGTAAAAAGAGAAAGGTGGGGACACCACAACTAGTGATTGACCGATTGCGCAACAATTGGAAATTACCGATTATTCATGTCACAATCTACCATATACCGATTTTATAATGACGTCATAATACCAGTCGACCGAGTAAAGGTGACTTCATTTATGTCGATTTTTTAACGATAATTTCCAACGTAACATCACAGAGTAGATACATATACAGAGTTATAACTAGTGTATCCACTTTTTGTGCGCATGCTCGGCAAGTTAATAGATGCATGCCGCCCCCATCCCGCCCAAAAATACTATTAAAAAATTAAAAAACGAGTATAAAATTTAAAAAAACTCCCGCCTCTGAAAATTTGTGAGAGTGTGACGTTAACCAATTCGGCCTTACTGTAAAACCGTTAATAAATGGTACGCTTCACGCATTAATTTAACATATTGCGTACCGATTCCAATTGTCTACCGATAAGGCAAAAATCGGCCCGATGACGATCAATCGCTAACCAGTGTCCTGTAGGCCCAGCCTAGTCCCAGTCGTTCTGAAGCAAGCGCGAGAAAAAAGTGTATGTAGTACACAGCACACCCAGGCATAAAACTTTTAAGACTTATTTAAATATATCAAAGCAGGGAATAGAGAGAGACTGGGACTAGGCTGCTGTAGGCCCTTAAAATATGAAATATACTCAAAAAATTACTCAGACATAAAAAATGTTCTAATAACAGCACATTTAAAAGGCTGTATAAGTAGCCACACAACTAAATTTGCCTATTATCCAATTTTAGTATAATTACATAGGTGATTATTGAAAATTCTCCACGCTGATTGGTTGCCGTTGATGTGATTATTACGCGATAATCACCTAAGCGATTTTCAAAATGGCGGCCGAAGCCTTTTTGTCAATTAAATGACGGAGAAATGTGTATTTTCTTATTTTTTCCAAATAATCACCTATGAAATTATACTAAAATAATTATTCGCCTCAGGCTCGGTGATTATCGTGAATAAAAACCTCGACTTCGTCTCGGTTTTTATTCACCGATAATCACCTCGCCTTCGGCGAATAATTGTTAAATATTCCTAGCTATATTACTATCACAATCCATCTCTGTATATCCCTAACATGACCCACATTAACTACATGTACCCATATAAAACACAGGTTACCCTTTACTACCCATTTCTACCTCCATAAAACTCTCCTATGTTCCAGATCGGGTTTTCTCTACAGGGTCTTGGCTTGGCATGATACATCCCACCAAAACTCATATAGTTGAAAGTCTTACTCATCGTACCACAAGGATATGTGACAGGAGGTATAGTGTACTTTTTCTTCGTCCTTTTACTCAAATAATGTTTCCAAAACAAGTCGACCTCTGCAGGATAGCTGCCATGTAGGGCTAAAAAATTCTCACAGATGTCCTCGTACTGTAGAATGTTGTACCTATTAACCACGGCATGGTGTACCCTATTGTCTCCAAAGTAGGTCACCCCAGGGATATTGTTTATCCACATGATCATGGCCTGATCGCCATATGCGTGACACATGAGTGTCTTGTTTTGTTCACGTAGGAACGTTTGTGCAAGGTCATTGCTCACGATCACGAAGCCTTCGTCAACTCTCACTCCACCTGTGTGGAAATAATTAGTGTGGGTTAGTGTACTTGAAAGTTCAGTATACTTAGACCAGTGACATAGCTAGGGAAATTTGACAAGTCCTGCTCTAAGACCCGCACATTATAGGGGGTCAAGGGGCATGCTCCCCCGAAAATTTTGAAAATGGCCATTTCTTGCTATTTCACAGCAAAATATATCCAAAGGGAACAAGAAAAAAATGTGTGATTAGAGGAATATTTTTGATACTTTTTTAAGAAACAGGTGCGATTGTACTACTGGGCCCAGGAACTGGTCACCATGTTGATCCATTGTTTTAGAACTCAAACTTTTGCATTATTTCATGAGGCATTTTAAAAAATATGTTAAAATGATCTAAATGATTGAACGAAATACTTGTCAATTAAATGGTTCTATAAGGGCAGGCATTTTATATTGGCAGCATTCACTTAAATGTTTTGCTTTATACATGCAAATTACACTCACTGTACTTTGATGTAAGTAGTGCATTTTTCCACCTAGTACTATGGTAGCATGTTAAAATTGGTAAAATTGCAAAGTTTGGTTGCAAAATGAGGAAAATATAGCCGTACGAATTTTGCAATTTGTATTGCACCACTTTCGCCCCAAATGTGGTGCATTTTCCCGTGCGTAATACAAATTAGTACAAATTTCGCAGGGCTATATTTTCCACATTTTACAACATTTCACAGCCAAACTTTGCAATTTTACTAATTTTAACATGCTCTTTCTAGCTGTGGTGATGGATTTTGTTCTTCTTGCCTAGATCAAAATTAAGTCTACAGCTGGAATTGCCCATTAATGCTTTTGAATATTTGTTCAGTGAAAATGATTATTGTAGCTACGTGCCTGAAAAATGAATTCTTCTCAGCTTGCCTTACTAATACCATGTCCATTAATTAACGGACAAACCCCAAACATAACAAATAATTATTATTAACAATTTAATCAAATTTAATCAATTTAATAATTCATGGTTAGTCACTGGTCCATGACTGTCTTTCTTATGGTTTGTCTGTGAATATTAATTTTATGCATATTATTGAGTATGCGGATAAGTATCTGGGGGGGGGGGTGCTGCTGCTTGCTTTGGCCGGGGCCTGGTGGCAATGCCCGGAAAGGCCAAGGAAAAAGTTTAACAAAATTTGTTTTCTAGGCCTGCATGGCAAGATCTGAGACCATAATATTGGTAATTTTACAAATTTAGTAGTAAGAATAATCAAATATGAAACTATCAAATCAAAAAATATATATAATTTGCGGGGGTGCAAAAACTTTTGGGAGCGGTGCCAAATGCCTCTGGGGGGGGGGTGCAAATCATTTCTGGGAGGGTGCGCACCACCCCCCAGAAAATCGCAATATTGCAATTGTCATATCTTCGAAATGAGGTTTTTTTTTCTGTTTTTACTATGAGCACATCATAAACTTTGCCCCTGGGAAGTTTCAGCAAATTCTCATTTCCTGAACAATTACTTATGAAACACAGAGGAGAATTGTAGAACTATGCTCTATAGATACAATTACTGTAGACTTAGGGCGCTTTCCATTTATGTTTCCCAAACATCTGGAGAAAATGGACCTCATTCTGATGTTATCCAAATTTTCCGGTCAGATAGGTCCGAAGTCGAAACATTTTGAGTTCCCATTCAACAATTTGACCGGTATGGCCGTGTTAATGGAAAGCGTCCTTAGTATATAAACTGTTTTTATACCTGGTGGATGGCAATGCACATATCCCCAATACAATTTATCTCGTGACCGATGTGGCAACTCAAGCAATAGTCTATCCATGCACACAAAGTAATCATCATCGATGCGCAAGAAATATTCAAACTGATATCGCGCATTTGCCCAATTTAAGATCCATAGATAACGCAGTGCGAAGTTGATACCCCCTGGACTTTGTGTTAGAATCAAATCTTTATGAAGCAATTGTTCCTGCTGTAATGGCATGTAGATATTGTCTGGTAGTTTATTGCCATACATGTCTTGACTATCTGAGAAAAACAAGCATGGGATTCCTATACACTGTGTTAACCAACTTTTTCTCAATGCATTCCTTCGTGATATCAACCGCGGTGCGCTCATGATACCGACAAAAATGATCACTTTCTTTTTTCTTGTAAAATGACCACCAGTCTTTGTAGGCAAACTTGTAACTGGGGCTGGTTCAACAGAAATAGTTCCCGCTTTAACATAATCACGAGTCTTGGTAGTCCATTTTGTTAAACCTCTTGCAACGGAAGCTGGTTGAACAGATATTTTCCCGGGTTCAGAATAACCACGAGTCTTGGTAGTCCATTTCGTTAAACCTCTTGCAACCGGGGCTGGTTGAACAGATATTTTCCCGGGTTCAGAATAACCGCGAGTCTTGGTAGTCCATTTCGTTAAACCTCTTGCAACCGGGGCTGGTTGAACAGATATTTTCCCGGGTTCAGAATAACTGCGAGTCTTGGTAGTCCATTTCGTTAAACTTCTTGCAACCGGGGCTGGTTGAACAGATATTTTCCCGGGTTCAGAATAACCGCGAGTCTTGGTAGTCCATTTCGTTAAACCTCCGGTAACTGGGGCTGGTTGAACAGAAATAGTTCCCTCTTTAAAATAATCACGAGTCTTGGTAGTCCATTTCGTTAAACCTCTTGCAACCGGGGCTGGTTGAACAGAAATATTTCCCGCTTCAAAATAACCACGAGTCTTGGCAGTCCATTTCGTTAAACCTCTTACAACCGGGGCTGGTTGAACAGAACTATTCCCCGCTTCGCGGTTCAAGTGATAAACAACCAAAATGTACGCTGCTGTGATAATGACAACAATGTTAAGAAGTACAATAGAAACAAATAAGTTCGAACAGCATTTGAAACAATTGCTTCGATTAGTCATGTCGTTTAATTGACTTTACAGTATATATTAAAATGCTCGCAGTGTATTCACAGCCATGACAACCACACTAATTTACTCAGTGTCACGGAATTCTTGAGAAACCGGTCTTGGTTCAACACATTATAGAAAATCACATTAAAATATATAGCAGAATTTGTGAGCCAGTTTGACTTTTGGTCCTCGAGGACTCCAATATTAATAATTTATACAATTTAGTGAATTTACAAATACAATGCCTTTTGTGACAATGCTTCCCAGTGCCTGTGCCAGTGCTCTCACTTCCCATTTCCACAAATTCCTTAGATCATAGATAAAAATTCCTCAGATTCGGCAAGAGTGTGTCAGACTCTGTGACTGTGTGGTCTCATTCTTGCAATGGAACTATGCAATGGCCTACAAAGTTTGGTTTGTATCATTTGGAAATTGGGATCCTGAGCAGTGCCGTCCTTTTTGCAGTTTTAGGATTGTATTCCCTGCAGTTTTTGAAATGTATTTTGGCATAAATAACAGCTAATTATTTGACTGAATTTTTTAATATTATATGTCAATATTTTCAAATATCAGGAAAAAGCCTAAAATTCCTTAGAATGTTCATTCCCTTAATAAAATATCAAAACATTCTATATAATGTTGTCACACAAATTGCAATTTTGATAGGCAGATTGCTCTGAGCAATTTGCCAGCGACGCGAACCAACCTATATGAATGGGCTTTGGGATTGGTTCATGATGATAACAATAAAAGACAATGAACTATAGAAATTATCTTTCTATTAAAGAACGAGGCATAAACACTGATCACTATTGTAGAATATATTCTGTATTTGAATAATTAGACCATATAGGCTTAGTACAAAAAGATTATTTTAATAACCACGTTTCGGAGTATAACTGCATCTTCAGGTTAAAAGTAACTAAATATATATAATAGTAGTATTGTATTGTTTTATGAAGCCAATCACAAAACACGATTATTTTAGGTTGGTATTTACCCTGTATTTACCCAACAAAGCCTCTGATTGGGGCATGTACTAAGGGAAGCCTCGCATATCGATTTTTTCCACGAGAAACGTCAAATGTTCGTTTGGGGGTGGAGGGGTTTGCAGCTGTGACGTTTCTCTGTAAATATCATGGGAAAATTCGATAGTTTTTTCCGAAAGCCTTAACATTTCGAAATAATCTTTGCAGAGTATAAAAAAGAAAACAACTTGATACATACACCAGTCTATAGGCCTACATTCGTAATACCATACCTGTTCTACACCAGTGGCGTAACGTTATATCAGGGGGCCCCCGGTTCAAAATTTTCGAAGGCCCCACTAGTAGAGGTGCCAAAGGCACGAGTCGAGCGCCGTATATGCACGAGTTTTCTAGGGGGTCCAGGTCATGCCATTTCCTGGACTTTGGGGAGAGATTTTACAGAATTCTGATGGTCATAAAACGACATTGTAACATATCAGAGGCCCTGGCCAATGTTTTTGCCCTATCGCCTAAGCCTGGGGGCCCCCATTTGGGTTGGGGGCCCCCGGGTTTACCCGGTCTGAGCCCATAGTAGTTACGCCACTGTTCTACACGTATACATTTATATTATTACGCCTTCCTTGTATTGAAAACACTCAAATTTCAAGAAAACCGCGCTAAATTTATCAATATTTCATGCAAAAAAAGTTGTTTTGAGAAACGTTGAAAATTTTGAAGTTCATATACATTAATATAGTTAATAAAAAAAAGATATGTCAGCAGAAGATGACATATTCCTCGCGGAAGCGTCGCCAATAGCCGACCGTAGAAAATAGTAGAAAATTACCTTATGTGTACTACAGTCTATATTGAACAAAATATCGATAACTATATGACGAACAAAATATCGATAACTATATGTGTGACGTTTCTAGAGTCTTCAGAGAAACGAACATGACGTTTCTCATGGACGAAATCGATATGTGAGGCTTCCCTAAGGGCCTGTTCATATGATCCCGCTTACCGGGACGTCTCGCTTACCGATGATCTCGCCGCCTATCTATTTTCCTATAAAATTTTGCATTGTGTTCATATGGGAAAGCGAGCTGGCCCGCTTGCCGAGATCTCGTTTGAATTTGCCGAGATCATAGGTAGGCGGATGAAAATTTTTCCATATGAACACGCCAGCCCGCTTACCGGGATGAAGTGAAACAAGTCTTGCCGGTTTAATTTAACACTTTTTACTTGGTTTTATGTTTGTTTTGTAAACAAGTATTAAATAACCACCTGAAGCAATACTTTTTCTTGTAAATAAACGAAGAAAAACACTAAAATCGCCAAGTATTTGTGTTGCTTGACTGAAATGTAGAAGTTTTGCATACGCTAATTATAGAACTACATTGTAATTTCATCTCGGCAAGCGGGACGAAATACTCCATATGAACGCACGGAAATATTCATCTCGGTAAGCGAGACGTCCCGGCAAGCGGGATCATATGAACAGGCCCTAAAACTAGTCTGCGCACAGACTCGAGCAGACTACCCCAAAACCCGAAACAACCGGAACGGAACGACCGGAACAAGAATAGGAAAAGACCGGAACCACCGAAACCAAAATCGAACACGATCATGTTCGATTTTGGTTTCGGTGGTTCACCGGTCATTTCCAATTTTTCTTCCGGTTGCTTCTTGTTCCGGTGGTTTCGTTCCGGTTGTTTCGGGTTTTAGTACATGCCTCTGATGGGACTATAAGAAAAAGGGACGGCTCTAATCCAGTTGCTCAAACTATTTGATTGGCTTCCTTTTTGTTAATAGTCAAATCAGAGGCTTTGTTTACAAATCTGGTTGCAAATTGCACAGAGCAATTTTCCTATCAAAATTGCAATATTGTGGGACAATATTGCAATGTTGCTCGCAAGAGAATATCCCGGTTTGACTGTAAAACGGTCCAAATGACCGAATTTCCTTAGTCTAGAAAATTTCCTTAAAAGTGACAACGCTGGCGCTTCCACTAGCTCAAAACTAAATTTCCTTTTCTCATTCTTATTCTGTGGTTTTACAAAATCTCCTTCCAAAAATTGCAAAATTTCCTGGCATATTCCCATGTTTCACCTCAGCAATATTACTCGTGATTTATCGTGACTTCTCGTTAGGAGCTTTTTTGCAAGTTATTCAAGGCGGATGTTAAGTTGTACAGGGCCTTTTTTAACATATAAGCTGAGGGGGAGGGGTATTTCCCCCCAGTCCCCTTTTGTGCCTCCCACGAATCAATACCCCCCCAGTCAAAGTACCTTTTCTCTAAAATATAAGAAAAACATTGAAATTGAAGAAAAATGAAATTTAGAGGCGTGGTTTGATATTAGGCTACTAACTGAAATTTGCTTTGTGAATCTTATCCTTTTGTCATGGCTTTTATCATCAAATTAAATGATTCCGATATCTTTTTAACTGATTAAAATATTGTGTTGTAAATCCAGCCAGCCAGACTCGATCAAGAAAATGCTAAAATACGGGGAATTGCCATTACCCATACGCACGCTAGTAAAATTCTCTACTTTTGGTATAGTAGCAAACAAACTCGGGATTAATCAGTAAATTTGGAAACACTGTTTGGTGATATTGGCATCTCTTTATATAGTGCAGGGAGAACTACTCTTTGGTGAATGCTATAAAGCAGTGCGGCAACTAGTATCTGTTTTGTAATTGCAAAGAACGAGGGACTGCTGCTGATGGGCGATACCAACTGGCCGGATATTTCCGTTTTTTGGATATCGATATTTTAACAACAAATATCGATATTATTGTTTAACTCACTGTCTACCCTGGATTCCAGAGCCTTCGATAGTAAATAATAAATTGAAATGTCGCGAAGGCTCTGATTCAACGGGGCGATTCTTTGATTAAACCGCGCCAATCACAAAACAGAATTAGTGGTTTTAGTCTGTACTAAAACCACTAATTCTGTTTTGTGATTGGCGCGGTTTAATCAAAGAATCGCCCCGTTGAACCAGAGCCTTCGCGACATTTCAATTTATTATTTACTGTCGAAGGCTCTGGAATCCAGGGTACTCACTGTCCGGCCAATGACGCTAAATCGCTAATGACCGTGTTATCAGTTTAGCCAAAGTCAGATGAGTTTGACAGCTCTGTGTGTACAAATGTACCAAATATGCCAAATATAAACTTTAATAATATAGATAAGAATTTTGATATGAAACGCAACCAATAGTCCTTCCATGCTCAATTAAAGCGTTATGAGTACAGAATCTGTACTAAAACCACTAATTCTGTTTTGTGATTGGCGCGGTTTAATCAAAGAATCGTCCCGTTGAACCAGAGCCTTCGCGACATTTCAATTTATTATTTACTGTCGAAGGCTCTGGAATCCAGGGTACTCACTGTCCGGCCAATGACGCTAAATCGCTAATAACCGTGTTATCAGTTTAGCCAAGTCAAATGAGTTTGACAGCTCTGTGTGTACAAATGTACCAAATATGCCAAATATAAACTTTAATAATATAGATAAGAATTTTGATATAGGAAAACGCAACCAATAGTCCTTCCATGCTCAATTAAAGCGTTATGAGTGCTGAAAAAAAGCTAAATATTTCAGGATTAGACGTATCGGGACAATCAATATTTCTCGCCGGTGTATCAATACTTTTCTTGCATCTTCCTTATCAGTATCCGCCCATAACTAAAGACTAAAAAGGATATTGATTCAACCTCGTACCCACTGGATGGATTATGTCATTAACCCTAATAGTAATACTAATTTCCATCCGTCAAAATCAACTGACGTCATTTTTGACTCGAGTCCTGCATGATCATGAGTCGAGTCCTTGGCTTGATAAATAGGTACTCTTATTCCAGACCCTTTAGATTTGAGTTGTGACCCGAGTTGTGGTATTTACATAAACATATAATGAAAGTATACTTATACAGGGTGTATCAAAATAAACGCAATTCATCTTTTGTGCTTAATAACGTTCGAAATACTATTTCTGGTTAAACGCTTTTAGGCTTACTTCAAAGCCTGTTCTTTTCTCCTTCAAACAAACTATTATCCTTGTTTCCAATGTTAGTAATAATTGCACAAGAAAAGATTTAGTAAAACCTATCATTTTTAGTTGCTGTTTAATTATGCAAGTTTACTATGTTATTGTTTAGTCGGTTTAAATGTTAGAATTTTCTTCTTTAAACTTTAATGTTGTCGTCACTACATCTGGAAAACCACGTAGGAACAAATTAAAAGTATTTTAAAAGA